TAAGGCCTGCAGTAGTTTCTCTGTTGTGATGGGGTTTCCTGACATTTTACAGATTTGAAATTATTGACGAATGTGTTGAACGTGTAATGATTACTTCTGCACCACTTCCAGCAGAGTATCACAGAACAGCGTCATTTAGTATTTCTCACGATCATCTTTACGTGCATTTATTTCCCCTTATTTAAAGTAATGTTTATTATTAATAAGCGTTTACTAACTCGGCTTCCCCCACACTGCTATATATCTTGCTTACAACTAATTGGCTTTGCCCGTGTTTATTGCAGGTTGTTCAATTGGACGTGGCACTGCAGAGAGAGAGAGAGAGCCCTCTCTTGGGATGAGCAACACTCTGCCGGCTTCTCTCTTTCTTTCCAAAGGACCGGGCACTCTTTGATTCTGCAACTAAAATAGCGTCAGGGTGGGGTGGCTGGCTCATGCACAGCCTTCATCCGTGCGACCTCTGACCCACAGTAATGCGAAAAGCCACGGCGAAAGTGGCACTATGTCCCGAAAATATTTTCGTCTTTCCATGGAGACCCCTTGACAGTGGCACTTGGAAATAGCGCGCGTCGGTTTAACAAGTGGGAACGTCGCGGAACGTGCGAGCGTGCGCGCGCGCTTATTTTCGGAGTTGGGGATTCGTCGCGTGAGCTGGCCGCGGTCTCTTGTGGCCCGCGTCCGTGGGGTTATTTATGGATTGTGCATTACAATTCCGCGTCTTCTCCCGGACGGTGCGGCGTGAGAAGGGACCCTTGACAAATGGAACTGGTACCCAGGAGAAAAAAAAAAACGATACGCCGTTTATGAGTGTCTCGTGGCGATCTTTCAATTGCAACTTAACCAAAAAAAAAGTTAATTTAACAGAATAAAGTGGAAACCACATGTTAACCCGACGCTAAAACTGTCCCCTGCTGCAACATCGCAGATTAAATATATGGCTCCATAAAAAAAAAAACGTTTATAAACTTTCGACACGTGGCTTGAGCAGAAGGGTCTGTATGCGGGGTTAACGTGAACCCACGCTTGGCACGCACGCTCTGAGGCCCGCTCCCCGACACACGCAGACACACAAATCGCCTTGTAGGTGGCAGCCAAACCGTGTTCCTAGACCGAAATGCCAAACGCTGCCAATTAATCATCTAGTGAACGCGTTACATTTTAAGCAACATCGCCGCGTGTTTTTTTTCATTGCTAAAATAACAATACAGCAAAAATTAACGCTACCAAAAGAAATCGCCAGTCGTAAATGGCACGGTCGGCTTTGTTTGCACGCCGTCTCGGGCGCTTCCATGCATTGGTTGCCCGATTGTTGTTCTGTCACGAGGGCACACGAGAGAACAACCAAACAGAGTCGGTCTTAAAACGGTCTAAAGAGCAAACTGTGTTAAAAACTACGCTCATTGCCAATATAGATGACAGTTTCCCAAAATCAAGATATGTTTTCTATTGCATGTTTCTTTTTTTTACATTTGTAGCTATCTGTTCCTTGGCGACGCAGCCCACGTCGGGGTTGAGTTAAACTCCTCTCTGCCCCCCCCCCCCGCTCACTCCACTCCGCTCTACCACGGCACGGCACGGCCACCACCACCACGACACGAAGCATTTGTTTGTAACATGAATATATTATTTAAAATGCTCCTGTCTCAATCTTAATTCAGTTCCTTCTGGATGAATCTTCGGTTCCTGTTTCATTCAGCATTTTTTATTAAAAAAATCCCAAAATCTGAATAATTTGCTGCTGCTAAAATACAGTACTTACAAAAATATGTAATTCTTTTTTTACATAATGCATTAACTTCCACACGGTTGGTCCTTGCATCCTACTACCACAGTCCAGCTTTTCCTGATGTGACTGATTAACAGTCATAGGAAATGTACATTAACTTTGGTCTCACTGGCAAACGTGACAAGTCAAGAGGTTGCTCTTATTAGTTTGCACATGCCCTATGGTTGCCACCACTGGTTCTGGTCTTCCTTGTAAAGAGATGCTTATCTCTTTGCGGCTTTGCCGGCTGCAAATATAATGATTCCATGATATTGAAAATCTCATTACATTTCCAGGACTGGGGAGAATGGCAATGCTGAAATGTTAAGCATAAATTATCTTGTTCACCATTGCATGCCCTACTAATTGTGATGTGACTGTTAATGCAAATCAATTATACAATTATAATGTACAGCTCTTTGTCAATCTACCGCTGGATTAAGGCTTCCCCACGCCATGCCAGTCGAAGGTAACATTGACGTCTGCATATTGACAATACGGATTTGGCGGTCTCGTGGTGAATACATGAGAACACACGGGGATCAACACACGGACACCAGCACTGCAACATCTCTCCGTGCTCACCCATGCGTGGGTTGGTGACAAGGCCCCGGTCGCTTGCCTCCCCCCCCCCCCCCCCAGCTGCGCCCTTGCACCCAGCGTGCTTACACACTGCTCCTTTCATCCCTAGTGCCCTCCTCTCCCCGTAAGCACGACCCTCCAGCCACCACCACCACCCGCCTTCATTCACAAAAGTGCATACTCCGTGGCGACGCTCCCGTGCCTATGAATAGGCGAATTTTGTTCTCTCCACTTCGCAAAAAAATGTATGTTTTCGTCGAGGTCTCCACCCCAAGTGGAGTTGTCATATGAGACGTGGGGCCACTCTGTCAGCCGCTGGTGCATACGCACGTACGGGGTGCTTGTTTTTATTTGTTTTTAAATAACTTGTGGGTTTTATTTGGTTCTGTGAGACGCTTTAAAGGGTTGAGGCGGCACCTCCTTCAAAACAAGCCCATGGGTGTTCGATAAATGCGGCCCAGCCGGCCCCGGTGTCGAGCGGCAAATGGTTTATGCGCGATACCGTGGGGCAGCCGAGCCGTTCGCCACTCGGTGTTGAGCAGCGATAAGCAACTGGGCTGTGAGGCAGCAAATAGATTGCTACACTTGCGTGCAGTCTGGCCGCACTCAAACTCTGGGTTGGAGGGTTTCGTACCAAGTCAGCCATTTGCTCACTGGATGTGACCGAGTTTAACAACGGAAACGCAAATCTCCGTTCTGTGTCCACATCGAAGTACAAATATGTTTTTTGCCCATCCCACCAGTTTTCTTAGCAGGAAAAACCCTTCTGGATCTATCATAATTCAGTCCTGTTGAACAAATTCTGCTTATTAGACATTGACATGAACACTGCATCTAAACCAGTGGTTGTTAATCTGGGGTGCACGTGTGCGAAATGCCCGTTCTGGGTGTGCAAGACATGGCCAGATGTTTTGAGAAGGTAAATAATCAAAACACAAATTAAGCACGGGCACGTAAGTACAGCTGTTTTGGTTAATCAAACCCTCTGTAGTTATTAACATAATATTTTTTTGAATGACTGAGAACCAAAGGGGTGCAAGGCTGCAGTAAAGGTAAAGAACCACTACTCTAAACTGTTAAGTTCCGTGCAAGCTCTGGGACCCCCCCCCCTCCCAACGCAGCTTCGCCTCCTTCACCGGGTAGCGCCACGATCATTTTCGGCCGCGAATAGGCGAGGTCATCGGCTGATATTTAAAGTATGAGAGCCACGGGAGCTATGCAGATCAATCACCCCCGCGCACGTGACTTAGTTTGCATTTATAATGTGGAATGTGTGCGCGCAGCGAATGCTGCTGTGCTCGGAGGTCGTTCCCCGACAACATTTGCGTTGGTGCACTCGGACGTGACGTGGGACAAGGCCACAATCCAAAGCCCCCCCAACCCCCCAGGACTCTATCGGACACCGTGCGACTTTCTTGACGCCTCTCCCAACGAGTGGCCATGCGTTCCGCTCGTGAGTCGAGGCAGGTGCTGATTGTCGGGGTGGAAGGGACGGGCGCAGCCCTGAAAAAAACGCTTGCCCGAATCCAATGTGGCCAGAAGGCCCTCCCACAATGGGGAGGGAGGCTTGATATAACCTAAGGGTATTTGGCCTACTCTTCCACATTGAATGGACGATTTGAAAGATGTAGGAGTACCCACACTTAAAGTTGAGTGTGTAAATTAGACGTAAATACATCAATTCCGACCATTATCATTCCACCAATGGATGAAGAGCTCCACACGCCGTGCAGCGAGGGGTGGGGGGTATCATCCATACTTCACCAATATAGTCCAGTGAGGGTGTTGGTGAAGTGGATGGTTGTAATTTAACTCGCCACCGATGTTTTCCGTGGCCGGTTGGAACTCGGGTCGTGGTCGTCGTCGTGGGATCACAGTGCAGCGCGCTAAACACAGCACCACCGCTCCCTCCCCACACACACCTTGTGATGCACGTTTAATGGAGCCCTCGACACGAGACGTTCCGTGATTCTGCGCTCACAGTGATGATAATGCACCACCGCACAAGCAGTCCGCCCTGTCGGTTTACTTTTCCAACACAACTCAACACTTTTTACACACACACACACAACTCAACACTTTCGACATGATCACTGCCCTTAAGAGGAAAACATGCGTGTATTACAATGATTGGGGCAATAGACCTTCATCGCATGGCTTTAAAGAAGGACCAATCGCGACTATTCTATCTGCGTATATATTTATTCCGTTGGAGGGCGGTGTTATTGTCCGCAATTGGTGAATTGGGCGCCTCGGCGTTCTCAAGTTCCACGTGGGAGCGATAAAACGGAATCGCTCAGGCAGCAGTCTCCGGCATTATTCACGGCTCATCGAGTCCACGACTCGTGAATCGCACACAGCGAGAAAGAGAACAGAGAGAGAACAGAGAGGTTCCACTCGAGCGCTGACGTCAGCACGCCCGCACCTTTGACGTGGATGCGCGCACTCTGGTTGCACGGATGGATGATGGGTGGTGATGGGTGAGTGGGGTGAGTTAGTAGAGTGGGGGGGGGTGGAGGGGATGAGGGTGGTGGTGGACTGGGGTGGTGGTGGTGGACTGGGGGGGTAGGGGAGGACTCGAGGCGTGCCTGCTCCGCCTTCACACACCCCTTCCCCTGCCGCTGGCCCGTCCCCTCCACGAGCACTCGGCCAGAAACGCGCGTTCCCCGTCACCCGGCTCACTCACTCACACTTAGTGCAGCCCTGCAGCAGCAGCAGCTCGCAGCAGCAGCAGGGACCCCGTAGCGCCGCAGAGCCCTCTCACCGCGGCGAGACCCCTAACCACCGACAAAAGCACGACAAGAAAGTCAACACGAACTGCTTGCAAACTCCTAACAACTAACCCTCGACGCGGACCGTGTCGCTATTCGCGTAACGGTCCTAAACTTATTTTTGTTTCGTACAAAGTTCCGGAAGTTTTTTCTCCCTTTTTTGTTATTTTTTTCTTAGAATCATTATTATCATCGCCGGTAGTGTCCTTTCAAGTGCAGCTTGTTGCTATTGTTAATTTATTCACCAGTGCCGGACTCCGATCGCGCTGGCTTAAAGTGGAGGCAGAAGACTCGACTCGAGTAGCGATGAGTAGAGCTACCTGTGCGCTCTGGGCGGCACTGCTGAGCGGCACCCTTCTCTGCAGCACGGTGCAGGTGAGCGGCAACCCCCCACGCGCAACCACGATGCACCACGTGCAGAGCAACAGCATCCTCATCATCATACCACGTGCGCAGTGCCGGGGCTGTCGACGTACCACAGGAGTCGAGATGATAATTCTGTGCAATCGTCGTCGGCGTGTTTATTTGGCTCGTGTCGGGCGGGACAGCTGAGAGAGCGCAGACGGCGCCTTCCGGCAAGCCACCGACGTTTTTGTTTCGCTTTACAACTCAATAGGAATTGCAAGGAAACAATGAATTAACGCGGTGACGGTGGGCCCACTGTTGACCTCATTCACCTATTGTTGTTGTTATTTACCGTGGGGGGTTTTCTTTTTTGTGTCGTCCAGGTCGTGAGAGCGGAGACGAGTGCAGGTAAGCTCGGCCACACACGCACGCACGCACACGCACGCGCGAGTGCTTAAGCATCGTCAGCACATTTTTAGGATTCCTGCCGCTTTGCCACGCGGTACCCCTTGCAGTGTAACCGCGTGCGCAGTGCCTCGCCAGCCGCGATTAAAGGGGCGCGTCGAGTGCCAGCGACGCCTGTACGCATTGGCTGGCGCGCGTGCGATCGCTTAAAACAACAACACATGCGTCGTGCACGTGTCCCGTGGTCGTGCCAGCGTGTGGCAGTCACTCGTACACCTAAGATGCGCGCTGGGGTGATGTTCTCACCGTTGGTCAATGGGTATTCGCCTACCTGTATTCGACAGGTGGTATTCGGTGACCTCGTGCGTAAAACGCGTCACGTGAGTCATCCCCGTCAGGCAACCGTGGTGTAGGCTAACATATACAAGCAATGATTAACCTTTGGGTGAAATACAACTTTGTGCCTTCTTGTTGTGGTGGTACTTGCATCAATCATAGGGTCAATGCCTGAATGTATTATTTATACCACGCCTCCCGGGCAGTAAGTACATCTTGAGGTGCCAACGAGTACACATGCCGAGTTATATTTATGGTTGTTAAATCCCTCGCTTGCTGCAAGTGCGTAAAGTTTAAAAAACAAAACCCAACTTGTCCAAACAGAACCGCTGGCCGCTTTGGACGCGAGGCTGCACAGGTACGAGGTGGTCACGCCCGTGGCCACGGACTCGAGTGGAAGGTTCGTGTCCCGGGTCGTGTCCTCCCGGCACGGGCAGGGCCCTGACTCCGATGGCAGCGCGCACCGCCGCGCGGCACGGAGCCTCCCCGGGGACGGAGACAACGCCCCGCCCCCCCGCGAGGCCCCCCGCGAGGACCCCGACGCGCGCCGCTACTTCAACGTGACCGTGTCAGGTCGCGTGTTGCAGCTGAGCGTGCGCCCCGTGGGCTGGCGGCTGCTGTCTCCGGGCGCCACCCTGCAGTGGCAGGAGGACTTCGCCGAAAGCCGGAGAGAGGCTCTGGCCGGACGGGATTGCGTGCACCGCGGCACCGTGAACGGGGTCCCCGGCGCCACGGTCGCGCTCAGCAACTGCGATGGCCTGGTGAGTGAGGGTGAGGGTTAAGAGAGCGGGCAGGGACATCTGCACTGACCACAATGCTCCACGCTTATTGCAGTGGTGGCTCCAATGGTGTAGAGTGTGCTATCATTGGCCCTGGTGCAAGGAATAAAATGGGACTTCCTGGCCAAATTCACCTCCTTCATACACTCTGGCCTGTAGGCACCAGTGCAGCTACACTGCCTGCCTGCTCGACAGTTGCAGTTCAATCGAACAGGAATTGGTTTTCCAATGTCAGGTGGTGCGTTTGGGCGATCAGTCGATGGATGCAATGTGACAACGGTCTTCCGTACACCGTTTGTGTCGGCTTAAGCTACATCCACACACCAAGAGCGACCTCCAGGTACCTCTTGGAGTAGGAGACTGTTTAATTCCACAATTTGTGTCGACAGAACAATCGCGCGTGGTAGTGAAGTCGAAGTTACTCGTGTCAACAAACTTTTGTCGACAAAATCCTGCCCGTGCTAAAAGACCCAGCATTACCCCACAAACCAGCACTGCGCTCCTGTCAGACTGGTTCTGTTGGGTAGCCGTGTGCACTTTGTTGGCGAGCCTGGTGGTGGAGGCTCTGATTAAATCACTTCCATTATTCAATTAAATCACTTGCACCTGCTGGTGCTGAACCCTTGCCACTTCATTTATATACAGAACCGTATTCATTATTTTATTTGATGTGAGATTCTATTTAGCTTATATTTACCCTACATTCTATTCAATATATATATTTGTTAAATCATTTTGTGGGTTTGTATATCTAAATTAGAACCTCGCTGCATTCAACTTGCAGTGGAGTCATCGGGAACCGCAGTCCAGACATTGCAGGCACCATTCCAGCACCCGTCTCCTGTGTGTGTGATACTTCGTCATCAGCAGCAGCAGCAGCACCGCTCTCGAATGCTAACTTGTGCTTTAAATAAATAAAAACCCAAATCCACTCACAACTTCATTGTGTGGGTGTGTGCGGTTTCTTGAGTGAAAATCGGTCGTATAAAGCAAAGCACTGTCTGAAAAAAAAACACCTATGCACGTAACTTGATTTTGACAACTTGCTATGAATTACAGATGACACGCACGCTAAATGGGAACAGTGGTTTCCAATAAAATGTACCCGAGTAAAACGTCCCGTACCCATTGAACAACACTTACATTGTTTACAGGGGGGGAAATCCGCAAACATGTTCAGTCACGTAATTACCAAGGCTTAATTCCTCATGACATTTTCCAAGTTGCTAGTAGACTGGAGTGAGTGGCGCGACACTGAAGTCAATCGCCAGACGTATCCTAGACGTGGTGCGCCAGATGTAGGAAATATTCTTTTTTACCAGAAAATACCTGGCTGAAATTAATCCCTGGCTATGACAACAGCAAGCACAGTAAAGAATCGTTTCGTGAAAATTTGCAATAACTACCGGATAAATAGAAGTGACGATCACAGTTGTTGTGCTGCTGCTGCTCATAAGCAGCAGGAAGGGACGATTCCCATCACGCCTTGCATAGTGGTCATGTGACCACCACATTACACGACAATGCTCTCAACCTTGCCTAGACCACCAGCTGAAAAGGCATCTGAGCACGTGGCCGTGTTATTATTTAGACCACAAACTCCACAAGTGTTACAGATATTGTTTGCACGATGAGTACTTTGGCAAGGAAAAAATCTGTCGAGTTGCTGATGTGGCTTGTAGGGGCATTACCTACACTTGTAGGGGCATTACCCACACTCGAAGGGCATTAGCCCACGCTCGTAGGCAGGTGACCCACACTTACAGGGGGCATTACCTACACGCACAGTGGGCGTGCCAAGGCCGGGTGCTTGGGCTGCCGATGACCCGCCCCTCGCGCCCGAGTGACCCTGAGAACCCGCCGGGCGCTTGAGCCACCGCCGCCGCCCTGATGTAGATCACGCACACGAGGGGCGGCATCGCGGGCTCCCAGGAGCGCGGAGCAAGGCATTCGGGGAATCCTCTGTTGCGTGGGGTCACTCGCACGTAGGCCGTGTTTGCAGCGTGGATTGCAGCACTCACCCTTCCTTGCCCTGCGAATAACCTCTGTCATGGCGTGAGGGATTTTTCTTTCCTCGGTCATCCCAAACTTGTGTTTTTTTTCGTTTGTTCCCAAGGTGGCGTGAAAAAATGTGGCTTTTGTTTTCTGTTAAACGTTTTCGTTGTTTAAAACAAGCCTGGCACATTCTCTTTGCCTAACGGTATTTATTTCCAGATTCTGTTTTTACCTTGCTCGTAATTGTACAATTAGCGGCACCACAATTAAAGGCAAGATAATTAAAGTGGTTCGTGTAAGGAGACAAAACCTGTTATTTTAACGCAGCATATAACCAGTTTGCCTTCACTGACAAGTGACGAGCTCAATTGTGCAGCGGTGCTTACCAGCTCAAGTAGATAATTAAGAATCTTTGGCAGTTTTTTTAGGTCCTGTGAGAATGTTCCAAGATCAGTGTGCCCAGCCATGCCAGTGACGAGGGTTGTGGAGACAGACACAAGCCGCCTTTGATCACGGCCCTGGCCCTAATGAGCGGCACGGAGGGGGCTGACCATTATGGCCGATGAATATGATGATGATGTCACCACGGTCAACTCGAGTAACCCCCAACCCCGGCAGCCGTGAAGCATCCAACTCTTTTCGCTCCGACCGGCAAGACAGCCTTTCTCACCACAGCCTAGCCAGTGGGCATGCTCGCTTCTCGCGCCTGCACTGGCCCGAGAGCTAGGCTAATGAGACCCAGCTGAGTGGACGCCCCGCAAGAGGGAGACAATTTTCGGGGGCTTAGGGTCGCAAGCGGGACACTGTACGCGGGCGGTCAGTGGAAAATGAGAGCCACTTAAGCGGGGGCCTCCGTGGCGACTTGCGCCCTCCGCCCATGAGTTATCGTGGACGTTGTGATCACAGCTGCTCGATATTTAACAACAAAACGAATCCACTCTCCAAAATAACCTGATCCATTAAAATGTCCGTGTCTAATGTGAGCATTATGTTTTTAGCATGTTGATTAACTCGTCATGGTGTACAAAAAAAAGGAATGGAATAAGGCTCCGTAGAGACTTGCAGGGTGTTTTGGGGTTGTTATTTTTTTGGTGGGGGGGGGGGGGGGCTCGGTAATATGCACATGCGTTAGGTTAGTTACTTTGGTCAATTGTGCGAATTAAACTAAAAGTACTGCCACGAGATCAGCCAGAGCCCGATTTCTAAGCAGGAACTACAGCGTACAGTTTTGTATAATGTTTTTGAAAATGTTCCCAGAAGCTCCAATTTAGTGGCAGGGTACAGCCCCAGCGGGGATTGCTGCCTACAAACCAAACAGGGCTGTCGGTGCTCGCGTGTGTCTGCAGAGAGAAAGGGCGGTGCAGTAGTTTGGCGAATGCACTCCGAACCCAGTGACCCATGTTCATCTCCTGGCCAAGGCTGACATCGGTGAACTGCTTTTTGTGTTTAGTTTCTTGTCCTTCCCCTACACCTCCGATTTGTATGGTTTGCTCCGTACGGTGCGAAGAAAGTTCAACATACATACATTCTGATGATGTCTGAAAACACACACACATGCATCCGTGCACATGTGTGTATGTTTGCTGACGGGGAGCGGTGGCCCAGTGGTTAGGTGTGAACCCGGCGAATCGAGTTCGAATTCCTGTTCATGGCCACCAACACCAGTACTGGTCCTGGGCCTCCCCGAGATTGACTCAGCCTCAAATATGTACCTGGTGCAGCGTGTAAACATCGCCACTGGGGAGACAAAGGTGGTCGGGCGTGGTGCTGTCTATAAGGGAGCTCTTTGTGTAGTTCATAGCGTACTGCACTACAAACTTGGCGACCTAGGTTTAATTCCCGGTCACGGCTAACATCAGTGGCAAGTGATATCTGACCCTTTCCTAGGCCTCAAATTGGCACGGAATTGATTGAGCACCTGACGCCGTGTGTGAGCATCTGCACTGGCGAGCGTGCTGCTGGCCACACCACCTCCTCCACGTGCAGAGCCGGCCTTAACAGGTGCTCGCTAACAGCACTTGTCCCATCGGTGTTTTAAGGATATATCAGGGTGCATTAGTCTCTGTACATACCACGTGTTATCTACAACATGGTGTTCACTCCAGTGGCCTTTTGGGCACATGCAACACCAGGGGCTGTTTGTTATCTGAATATCGACTTGACTCCTCCTTGGGGGACTCGACCTAATGTGCTCACGATTGTGCTCTTTCAGTGTCCGGAAGGGGTGGACCGGTGAGGTTGAGGGCAGGCCCTGCCGCCTACTCGTGTACCTCTTTGACATTAATAGAAGCTTGCTGACATCATTTAGGGCACCGTAGTGGTGAGATGTTAACTATCTCGCCTGGTGTCAAGGAGTGTTGTGGGTTCTATCACGACCCTGACTCCTATATATTTGGAGTTAGCATGTTCTCCCCGTGGTTGTGTGTATGTCTCCTGGTCATCCGTTCTTTTCCCCCACATTTAGAAACATAACATGCGTTTAGAGTATTTGGCTGCCATAAATGTCCACGTGATAAGCCCGTTCGTTGTGCTATCGTTTGTGGCCAGGTCACTTCTGAAAAATAGCTCTATATAGCTCAGCTAGCCTCGGCTGGTCATTTTTAGGGTAATTGCCAATAGTTTCAGAAAATATACTTTACTCATGAAACGAATCGATGGTTGACAGATGTACGAGACTAAATTAACCATCGCCATTGTATGGAGTCGATGAGAAAGTCAGCTGGTCTGATTACGCCCGACACCGCGGTATTGCGTGAGCATTTCTCCCTCGTCAAAAGGTTTCCAAGGTGTAAAGGTTTTATTTAAAAAGTAATAGGACCCCCACTCAAGTGTGCATAAAAAATATTGTACAAACGAATTCAAAGATCAAATCGGGTAAAAGGTGGACAATTTTTCACTGTCAGAATTAAGGCCCTGATTAGTTGACATACTATGCCCAAGTAAAAAAGCCACTTCAGCATTGTACTAGCGATTACCCACATCTTGACAGTGTCTGAAATCGTGGACACTGCCCCATATCTTGCCGATTCACTGCTGTCGAATGCTTGCAGACGCAACGATGCACGCAGGGCACACTGCGGAGCTCAGAAAGCCTCCCTCCCATGTCCGCGTCACCTGTGCCGCTGTAGCTTCGCTGCACCCTCCAGCCACGTTCCCGGAGTGATTCTCGAACTCGTGCTGTGTTCATATTTTGTTTGTTGCGGTTGCACCCGGCTTAAGAGCCGCATGGCTCACAGGGCTATACCTAATAAATGAAACTTGAAACCTCGTTGCCGTCTACAGGCAGGGCTCATCCGCCTCCCCGACGAAGAGTACTTCATCGAGCCTCTGGAGGTCGGGGGTCACGCTGACGAGCACTCGCAAGAAGGCCGAAGCCACGTTGTCTACCGCAGGTCGGCCGTCAAGCGCTCCGACTCAATGACGCCCGAATCGGGCACACACAGCGGTAAGAGCTCGTCACACGCGCACACATTCTACCATGAGAGTATGCCCTCGCTGTTTGCGAGGGATACGTTCCGGAGATGCTCGTGAGTAGAAAATTTCACGGATAGTGATATTGGCCTTCGCAAAACATATATTTTAAATGAATTACCTTCAATAAATACATAAATAAGCAATTAAATACTTGAAAATTATCTGATCACTTTGTCGCAACACATTCTCTCTCATCACTTTGTCTAATCACTTTCTTTCTCTCTTTCGATGCAGTTGTGTTGAGTTCTAGAGACAATTCACGAATAGACCAAAATCGCGGGTAGCAAGTTCGTGAATAACAAGGGACGACTTCACAACGTAATGCGCGTTTACACAGCACCTCAATTGGATTGCATCTCAAGACGCTGAACAGAAACCAGGGGCGTATTTATTTGAGATATAGAGAGAGATAGAGGCGGTCAGTCACAGGCAGAGGAGAAAAGGAAGGTCTTGAGCCTGGACCTGAACGTGGTCAGGAAGTTGACAGCACAGGTGGCTGGGGGAAGGGGATTCTAGACTAAGAGCAGTGGCAGAGAATGTGCGACTTCCCACTGAGTGAAGGTTAATTGGGAGCTTCAACAGAAAACCTTAGTATCCGGAGCGCATGTTGTGTTGTGAATGGGCGTACAGCAACATGAGTGGGGAGGGGTAGACAGGGGTGATATTCAACATAGCAATGAGAAATAGTTTATCCATTGTTTAATATGTATTGGCTCACAAAGAAGCAGAGGTTGCAAGATTGAATCCAGGTCTGGAGCCAACAGGCAATTATCTTTGTGGGGGTTGATAAACTATGTACTACTTCCTGTGAAGTGAACAGTGGTCGTTCTACAGCGAGATTTCCACCTGCCACTGGAATGTGATGTCTCCACCACTGCCCCAGGGCGATTCGTGCTGCTCCACACTCGCCTCAGCAAGAAACCCTCACTTTTAGATATGAACCTCATGAGCCAAGGAAACATTAAAGAACTTAACTGTGAAGTACATTCTGACCACAGATTCATTGGCAATGCTCCACAACAACGCATTGGGATCTCTGGATTAAATTCGCTTAACGTTATTAATTATTACAACGATGCATGCGTTGGCTTGAAATATTGCCTTTTTTTGCATTGAACAGGGCCCCATCGAGTGAGATGGCGTGCTCTTACCAATGACACTTGGCAACGTGACGGCATTTGTTTGACAAGTTTGACTCTGCTGATGAGTTCCAGGAGATCAAATCTGGACCAGAGGTATTTTTGTTGCTGAAACTTAAGCTGCTGGATAATATTGGTCTGGGAAACCAGTAAGCCAATTAACTTTAAAAAAAGCTTGTTTAAAATATATATATGGAGACACAGAACAATATTTGTATAATTCTAGGTACATATATAAAGGGATCACATCAAAAGTATCTCTACAGCTGTGCTCATGAGCCACTGCGCAAAGGTCACGTGGCTGGGGCAGCACTATCCGTCGGAGAAACGCTGATGTGGGTTCCGTGGCTAATTTGGATTCCGTCAGTGAGTTCACGCGCTGGGCAGAGGCGGCCACTCTCCTCTCTTCTCCTGGCCCTCGGATCTCACGGTGGCCGAACGTGCCATGGCAACGGCACGCGCGTCCCCGCGTCCCGCGCGGCGTGCGTGTCCCGTGCTGCGTGAGGGGTGGCGGCTGCCTTTCAGAGCCGGAGGGGGGGGGTCTTTTGTGACGAGCGGGAGGGCGAGAGAGCGAGCCAGAGAGAGAGACCGGCTCCTTTCTGTGAGATGGAGCTGGTTCAGCGTGGGTGCCACTTGTTCACAAATGCTGGAAATGTCAAATTTGCAAGCGTAAAGGGTATGCGGGGGGGGGGGGGGGGGGGGGTTGCGTGACCTGCTGGAAAATTAGCTTCATTTTGTTATAAGTTTGGAGAAAGTAGGAGTAATGGTCGTGTAGGAGTAAAAATGGAGCTGGGTCAGGGGGGGTTGTGAGAGTGAAATAATGGTTGGTAAGGCAGATGAGTTGTCGATAGTTTGTGTGTATGTGTATACAGTGATATCGCGAGCGTTTGCCAATGTGCCGCAGCAGCAAGAGCTCTTGGTGCAAATAAATAAAGAAATCTCAAGGGGTACAATTAGGCCACCTCAACCTAGTTTTAGCTGGGCTTTTTTTGCTTTCAAAGGCTGTTTCCTCTCTAAGTGCGGCGTTGCTTTGTGGCTTTTTCTTTTTGTCCGAAAATCGTTCAAAATGTTCACCTCCCTGTACTTGGCATGCGAGCCGAAGCCGGAACGCGGCGGCATGGCCTAGAGCGGCCCTCGTGGTCACGCCTTGATTCACAGTGGTCGTGACTCTCCTTGTAATTTTCGCAAGCCCGCAATGTTGGGTAATTTAGCGATCACTACTGACCTGGCGCTCCTTCCCATTCCATTCGCCAGCCCCTGTGTGTCAGCACCCAGAATGTTGAATTCCAAAATACAACAACAGCAAGCTGCGATTCTTGAGTGACCCTTCCAGGGTATATATGTGTTGCATTGCTGTAAGGCGTGAATGAAAGCATAATCTGACAGTTTTATATCAAGTGTAAACTACATGTTCGCTAAACACCTTCGGCGCAATGAAGTAGCAGTTTTGATAAATACGGAGCACACTATTTTTGAATGTATCTGAATGAGTGAAGCGTACCAACTGAAGTTCGTTAGTGACCCTAAGTGTTGAAATATAGGTCCGTTGCCAATGGAAGAAAAACAAATCTGTCTTGTCCACTGAAGAATAGCTGCAACGGCCCTGTTCAGGCTGGGAAGTTGGTACTCCAAATATTTGACAAAATGCACATACATATATATAGAAAAACTTCGGTTGTTATTGCACGTGGTTTTGTTTCTGAGTTACTCGTTGCTTATTAAGAAGCATCCCTGTTGTGCACATTTAAAAACCCCGTGGCACTGTACGGCCTGATGTTTCCAATCGTTCTATTAATGCCACGTGCATCGGCCATGTTTTATTTTGTGGCGGCGGCAGCGTTCTGTCAAGAGGAGAAATTAACAACACGTTACAACTGAAAGTTGAGGCAGAAATAAATTTTGATGAGGGGTGTTAATACGGTGCGTTAGCTGAGAAATCGGGTTTAACGTTGCACCCTTGGGGACCTCGTTGCTTGTTTTGGACGAGGTTCTCTTTCCCAAGAGCCTAAAATTACCACGATGTGTGATATTTTATGGGTCTTCTTTTTTATTTATATGGGTGCAAGAATATCAGGACTAATAAAGCGGATGCCGTAATGGCCTGCAGTGATGAATGTGATCTTGATTCCTCGCCACTGTTAACGACCGTTGCAGTTCCGCAGCTTCCCCCTCGCTCTCTGCGTCTGTGGCTTTTGTCGATATCCCGCTGTACGTGCGGCGAACCGATTTCTACACAATTCGCTATACGCGGTTTGAATTCACTCTGCATGCGGTTATGCGGTCGGACGTTGGACAACGTTGTGTGTGTACTATGTGTGTACCGTGTGTGTACTCTGTACTGTGTGTGTACGTTGTGTAGTGTGTGTGTACTTTGTGTGTACTTTGTGTACTGTGTGTAGTCTGTGTGAACTGTGTGTATGCTCTGTGTGTACTGTGTGTATACTCTATGCACTGTGTGTATACTCTGTGTACTGTGTGTGTACTCTGTGTACTGTGTGTATACTCTGTGTACTGTGTGTGTACTCTGTGTACTGTGTGTATACTCTGTGTACTGTGTGTATACTCTGTGTACTGTGTGTATACTCTGCGTACTTTGTGTGTACTCTGCGTGCTCTGTACTGTGTGTATACTCTGTGTACTGTGTATGATATGTGTGTACTGTGTGTGTACTGTGTACTTTGCATACTGTGTGTGTATTCTGTGTATACTGTGTGTGTATACTCTGTGTACTGTGTGTACTCTGTGTGTATACTCTGTGTACTGTGTGTACTCTGTGTGTATACTCTATGTACTGTGTGTGTACTCTGTGTACTGTGTGTGTACTCTGTGTACTGTGTGTGTATTCTGTATGGACTGTGTGTATACTCTGTACTGCGTGTGCACTTTGTGTACTGTGTGTGTATTCTCTGTGTACTGTGTGTGTACTCTGTGTACTCTGTGTATACTCTGTGTACTCTGTGTGTACTCTGTGTACTGTGTGTGTACTCTGTGTGTACTGTGTGTACTCTTCGCGCTACTCGGGAGGTAGCTGTTTCCTTGTGCGGTTTCGCTTTGTGCACCTTTTTTTGGACCGCATCTACTCCTATCGCATAGAGCGTGGGAAACCTACACAAGGGGAAAATATAAATATTTATGTATATAAATAATTGCGAATGAGAGTTACAAAATAGTTTATTCAGTGAACGTATGCATAAAATGACAGGCTAATAAAAAATATTGACATTTTTTTTACATCACTTAGAGGAACAGGTTTAACTGTTGTGTTCACCTGGCCTCAGTGTTCAATTCACATGAGCACACTGTCTGTACCGTAATATGATAATTATTATTGCAGTTCTTACCTCATATTGTATTCATAACTAAGCAAGCTCGGACTGAGACGCACTCTGTGTGTCACAAGGCAGACCTGCAACCCGCATTGGGATTTGCAGAGGCGCTCCTCTGCCTGTGAAGTCACTTCTCCGACGAGCTACCCCGCTTTCATTTATTGACGTGTGTACCGCTTTCATTCCTTCATTCATACTTTGTGCGTCGTGTGTGTGTGTTCACCAGCGAGAGCAAAACGTTTCCACGCTTTGCTTTTTAGGAATGAGTGCCAGGGCTGGCGGCCGAGCGTGGCGGGGCGGGTGCGTCGGTGCGAGTGGCGTGTCGTGCGTGCGTCCGTCGGTCACCCGCATGAGAACGGGCTCGCGTGTCACTAACCGGGACACATTTTTTCCACGGACACGCGGCCTTCCCTGGCAACGGGCACCTGATTGAGGTGGGAAGGGGGCCGGGTGAGCTTAGCAAGTGTGGAGGGAGAGGTTAGATGGGTTGGCCCCATTGTGGTTCT